TATGTCCTTTTTTACCTAGCTTTCCGTGGACAGCCAATCTCTACTGATCCCCCACCTGATCCCGTCCACCATTTAAACTGTATCTCCAACTCTCATCCTTACCCCTGTACTCCGTCACTGCAGTTTAGTCATACCCGCCATCATCATACACACTTCCTTCCTACTACCACAGTGGTAGTAACTGTCAATCACCTACCTTCTCCCGCAGCATCCATGTCTTCCCATGCACTGCTAGCTCCCCCCACCCCTTAAATGTTGAATGTGCCCTCTTCACCATCCTTGTCCCTCTGCATCCCAGGTTACTGCTTCTAGTTCTAAGTGTTGAGTCCCCCCACCTGATAACTCCCCGCAACCCCAACGTTCATTCCATTGACACCCCACTCCCAGGACTGACCGTGATCCATCCCCAAACCAGTTTGGATGGACAGCCCTGACTGATGACTGATGGACCTCTGGCTTCTCTCTGTGCATCTCCCTAACTGACAATCTGCAAATTCCCATCCTGACTTCATGGGACATGCAGGACTCTCTATGGTCCTCTCCCTGTACTGCAGTGAAACAGACCCCCTGCCACACACCACCTCATACTGGAGTCTGACTGTACTCAAGCCCTTGTACTGATTGTGATACTGCCCAGACTCCACCAGGACCCACTGAGTAACAGCAGCCCCTCCCCCTGACTTGACTGAGGACTACACCCCTTTGAATTGAGACATGACTATTTAGTTGGTACACATGCAGTCTGTTTGTCCTATAGATTGTCAGGACATGCTGATGGTATGAAATTGATTTAGCACTGTACCATTCAGCAACACATCCACCCCTTTGACTGGAGGCTGCCGAACAGCCTGACGAGCTGGTTCTGTACTAAACTGCAAAGCAAAACAGAAGGACTGTGGTCTTTAAACTGCAACTGAGGGGGTAAAGTGGAAGAAAGGGAAAGCAAGATGGAGATACTTTCCAATAAAAGTTACCAGTGTACTCCAAAGTGCAGCAACAAAGTGCAGAAATATCCTGTATCCTGTGAGTGGATCGGAAATGTACCATGATAGCGCAGAGAGGCTGGCATTCAGTAGATTTGAGTGTCCTTAGACGTGAGTTATGAGCAATCATGGCCTATGGACCATAGCCTGTTATCCAAGATGGAAGTCCAGTGGAGCAAACTGGAGTCTCCAGGCAACTGGTCTGACAGTCATGTTGAGAATTGTTGGCATCTGGTTTCTATTCGGCTGGTGGCAGAAAAGGAGAGTGTATACTACTGAGATGAAATGAAACAAATAATGAGGGTGAATATAATCATTGTAACCTCATTAACAGACACCTCATTTCTCATTTGTGAGAGTCAAATCTCAACATCTGCAACTTAGTTGAAAAATGCAAATTGTTTCTCCCTATGTTGAAAACTGCTCCTGAGCAATATTGTCACATTAACTGTAGTGCAACTCATGAGAAATGTGACATTAAATGGACGACACTAGACTACACCCTGGAAGATAACTCTAAGCAAACCTGGGCATCCATACATCAGCTGCAGATGTACCAGGACTCTGTGGCAAACGTCCTCCATACTTTTTACTAAAAGAGACCACCATCAGTTTGTCAAGAAATTTGTGGTCAGTGGTTTGCATGTGGTCATTATACTTCCTCCAGCACTGCCTCCAAATTGACGGAGATTGGCTCCTGGTATGAATTGCAATGACTATGTGCTCCACTAGCATTGCCAGTGTGTCTGGAGAGCCTCCATCCTCTGTGCAAAAAGAACATTTTTATCTTTATTTATTTTTTCATGGAATGTGGGCATCTCTGGTAAGATCAGCATTGTTGCCCATTCCTAAGCGCCTCTTGAATTGAATGGAAAGGACAGTTAAGGGTCAACCACATTGTTGTCTGGAGTCAAACGTAGGCCAGATCAAGTAAGGATGGTAGGTTACCTTCCTGAAAGGAGGGCTCTTGTGGTGCACTGGGAGTGTCCCTACCTCTGAGCCTGGAGACCTGGGTTCAACTTCTACCTGCTTCAGAGGTGTGTAATAACATCTCTAAATAGGTGAATTAGAAAATATCTACCTTTGCAAAAAGAAGAGCAGATTTTATTTTTTATAACAGTTCATGATATACTCATAATCAACATGAACGAAACTGTCTTTCAATCCTCGGCTTTATTAAATTAATTGAAATTCCACCAACCAGCATGGCAGGATTTGACTTTATGTCACTGGAGAATGAACCTGAGCTATTTGAGTACATTACTTCTTTGTAGCGTCTTTTGATTTCTTCCACCAAAAACCTCTACTGCAGCATCCAACAGGTCAGAGCCCTTTTGATGCAATTTCAGGTCAGATTTTCTTTAATCATAACTCTGAGCAGATGCAGTGCTCCTCCTCTTTAAGAGGAGGAGGCTACTTTTAAACAGCGGAGGCCAAACCACTCAAAATATTGGTCTGCTGCTGGTACATCCAGCCGGTGAATACAATGTGAATAGCACAGCCTGGATGCTGAAATCATTCAAAAGGTCAAGCAGCATGAACCCTGCATTACCATCAAAGTCCAGGGTAGTCAATCCTGTTCCAATCCCTGCATTGATTTTATCCCCTCAACATTGAATTATTTCTGAAGTTCTGTACTACCAAACAGCTATCAATATTTGGGAAATGGCAAGTGTGGATTACAACATGAAGGAGAGAAAGTAAAGGTTTTCTTTATTGTAAGCTGTTTTCAGCCTGTAGGTATACCTACAAAAATACTATTTTTTGCAATCTCTAGCTTCTCAAGGGGCATTAGGATCATCCACTGAGTGCTGGACGAGAGTGACATATAGATCAGATTGCCTCGGAATGCCAGATCCCTTTAACTGAATGACATTAGAATCACAGGATAGTCAAATTTTTCAGTACAGGAGCCTATCATGTCTGCGCCGACTCCTGAAACAGCCACCCAGCTCGTCCTGTTCTACCGCCCTATCTCCGTAGCACTATAAATTAATCAGTTTCAATTATGTATTGAGTTTTCTTTTGAAACCTCCTATGCAATCCACCTCCCCAACTCTCCCAGGCAGCGCATTCCAAATCCTAAAAACTCTCTGAGTAAAGAAGTTTCTCCTCATCTCATTCCTGGCTATCTTGCTGACAAGCTTGAAATTGTGACCCCTAGTTACTGAAATGGGTTTTAAACAACTCTCCAGCAGCTTTCATGATCATTTCCTGGTACCAGTCCACAACTTATTTGGGTGGAATTTGTACTTGTGATTTCATTAACTCAGCAAGTAGACCGTTATATCCACCCCACAGCTTTACTGCCCGAGAATGAACGAGTTAGAGAAAGAAGTGGTGCTGTATTGGTGCTGATTTCAACACAAATGAGAATGTAGGAAGGGTCTGTTTAAAAGAGTATTTGGATTTAGAAGACGAAATATGTTGATATAAAAGACAAGACAACTTCTCAGATCCAGTTTAAGCAATGGAGGCGATATTAGGGTCCAGCTGAAATTAAACAAGACGAGGTCAAGAATGTTAATAGATGGGAAGCAAAGGGTAACATGGTCAAAGATAAACTGGTGCTGATTGTGTCTGAAAAAACATTACTGCTTATTTCTTCCCTTATAGGTTTTATAAGAATAGAATCTACACCTACATTGGAGAGGTGGTTGTCTCAGTAAATCCATACCAGCATATTGATTTATATGGAAGAGACATGATCGAACACTACAAAGGAAGGGAGCTGTATGAAAGACCACCGCATTTGTATGCCATTGCAGACTCAGCTTACAAAGCCATGAAAAGGAGAGCTAAGGACACGTGCATTGTAATATCAGGTACATTAAAATAGGTTGGAATGGGTAATATAGCAATGGTAAGATACGAAAGAATTTGGGTGTGAAGCCAAAGCATTGATAGTGAAACATGCTTTTGAATACAGGGAGGGAGACTAAAATAGTTTTGGAAGAGAATTACTGAGTACAGATTTTAAAAGCTACTATTCATACTGTTTGAAGGTGATTTCAATAGTGTATATAAAACGTGGTTAACCTTCTTGGCAGTAGAGACTCGAGGCTGACCAGATGGTGTTGTTATTTTAATGAAAGGACTCAATCATCCTTTGACACAATTTACAAATCAGTAAAATTGAATTTACTGCTCACAAACTGCTCTATAATATCAATATGCATAAAATATCATATGGTAATCACCTTGTACAGATATGCTAATAGAACACTTATGGGGCAGGTGAGATTTGAGCCCAGACCTCCTGGATCTAGAGGTAGGGACTCTACTACTGCACAACAAAAGCCCTCCAAAAGGCTCTGAATGATAACTACTAGCACAACGGGCAGTGGCACATTTGAATACACACCCCGAAGAAACTGAAGCCCAGATCCAACACCTTTGATTACTTGGACGCACTACCCCTAAAGCTGCTGTAGATATTTTATAATCAACCTGTTCAGAAATGTTATTATACACATCTGAAGCAGGTAGGAGTTGAACCTGCAACATTTAGACAAGAAACCCCGAAACATATGTAGGGATGCTACCAATGCCTCCTATAAATGTTGTACTTTAATCAACCTGTACAGCTATGACATATATTCAGAATAGGTGGGGCTTGAATCCAGGTCTCCAAGATAGAAACACTGCCACTGCACCACAAAAGCCCTCAAACAAAGTTGCTGTATTCATCCAAAACACCAAGCTAATTGGCTAAGATGATTAATTGGGAGATGAGAGGAGGATTAAATGAGAATGAAAAGTTTTTGGAAGATGGGAATTGGAGTAGGCCATTCAGCCCCTTTGTCTGTTTTACCATTTGGTTAGAAAATGACTGCTTTGCATTTCATCTACCTATATCTACCAATATCCCTTACCTAACTAAAATCTATTGTTTCCTGCTTTGAAAGTGCCAATTCACTCAGAAGACAGAATTCCACATATTGTGTGTGAACAGGTGGTTCCTGGTTTACACTCCTGAAAGACTGGATCAAACTTTAAGGCTGTGTGCCTAGTTCCACATTCCCTCAATGGAAAAAACTATGTGTGAGTTGTGGGAGCGAGTTCCTTCAGGACTAAGTGATTTAATGTAGATGAATATAGCCACCTTTCTGGTCTGACTAGAAGATTCTTGTAGAGTAAGTAGTTCTAGCAACATTGCAACTATTTAAAGATTATATGAACATGCTCTACATTACTACAAAGACTGTTAGGAGCACAATAGTCTTAGGTTCTGCCCGTACCTACTCCTATTTTACTCCTTTCTATGTCATAGAATCAGAGCTTCCACAGCACAGAAAGAGACTCTTTGGCTCATTGTGTCTACACCAGTCATCAAACATCCATCTCTTCTAAACCTTCTTCCAGCATTTTGCCCATCATTTTGTATGCTGTGGTATTTCAAGTGCTATCTCGATATTTCTTAAATGTCTTGAGGGTTCCAATCTTTCAGGCAGGGTATTCCAGAAAGTCATAACCTCCTGGCTGAATTTTTATTTCTTCAAATCCCTCTTAAACCTCCTGCTCCTTACCCTAAAATTCTGTTCCCTGGTTATTGACCCCTCAACTAGAGGCAGAAGTTTCTCCCTGCCCATGCCCCTCGGAACTCTACATACCTCAATTAGATCACCTCTCAGCCTACTCTGACCTACAGAAAACAACCCCATCTGTTTAGTCTCTTTTGACAGCTTCATCACTCTAGCCCAGGCAACATCCTGGTGAATCTCCTCTACAACCCCTCCAGTGTAATTACATTCTTCCTATTGAGTGGTGACCAAAACTGCACACAGCATTCCATCTGTGGCCTAACTAATGTTAATTAATGTATTTTCATGTATTATCACAGTCAATGGTGCTTACCGCACTCAGTCAAAACAATTAATAGTGCAGACCCATATATATCATCTCAAACGCCCACTCCCACTCCAAATCATTTTCTTTCAAACTGTTTGATCTTTCATCATGTTGTGGACTTTTGGCTCAAGCAGGGTAGTTGTACCTGACAGGGCAATACTTAAGTTAGCTTTTGCAATGAAGTGCTGATATATTCAAGGCATTCATTACAGCTCTTTGTATATACATATATTACAGTCACAGGCACTTCAGGGCCTAGGTAATACTAAACTCTTCAGTAACAAACAGCAGCACACTTCAATTAATGTGTGATACTTCAAGTGGTCCCAGTTAAGATGGAGTCAGAGATCTCTCTGCCCTTTGGTCAGATGTAATGATATGGTGATGATAACATGAGTATGTCAGTATGTACTGTATACTCACTGTGAGACATAATGCAAAACAATTACTGTTATATATTGGTTTGTACATTTCCAGTTACCTCAACACCATCCTACCCACATCTTTGACTTTATAAACTCAGATGATCAGGAAGTTTCACTCATAATTCCCGAGTACATTCTCGTCAAACTTGGGAGAAGTGTAGTTTTTTGGGACGAGGTAGTTGACTTGAACTGTTTACTTGACGATTAAGGGTCTATAGTTTTCTCTTATCCTTAGTTTTGCTATTTGGTTCAACCCATTGCATAATCTGTGGATGTTTCCTGAGATTCCACAACACAGCCCTTCAGCAGTATGGATGATGTATGATCACCGTTGGTTCAACTTTCTGTGAACGGCTGAACATTTTCTGTAAAAAAGCCCTGATCCATAACTGTGCTTCTGTTGCTAACTCTGGCACATTCCTTGTATGGCAATATTTATGTACTCTAATATGTGATTTGCTAGTGCAATAGGATTATTCTTTATTATGTACCATAATGTATACATACATATATGTTCCATGTGTCATATATGACAACATTTCTGAAGTATTTAGATGACAATTTAAAGCAGCATAGCACACAAGACTACGGGTCAAACACTGGAAAATGAAAGTAAAGTAGATAGCTGCTTGATGACCACATGGATACGATGGACCAAAGTGCCTATTGCCATGCTATGATACCCTATGATTGTACTGCTTGGTTATCATGAAAGGCATAAATCTGGAACCAATTTCTTAGGCAGGATAGAGATCTGAGTATACAGCATTCTGCCCACCTGTATCTCTGATGGTTCTAGACTGTATTGGAACTGGGTGGACATGTAATTCAACAATACTGCACATTAGTCAGAACTCTTCTGTAAGACTGACCCACACTCAGCTCCCCATCAGATTGTAGGTAACACAGTGACCTTGTGATATGCCTAAATCTATCACTGTCCGGGAATTGGCAGATGCACTCATTCATAAATTGGGCCTGTTGTCTAAAATGACATGCTTTGCAAAAATATGGTGTAAGACTCAATTACTGCTTCTGTGGCTGTCATATTAACCATATTCAACCATCGGGAGGAATAATTGATGATGATGAAATAAGATTTTCTGTTGAAAACAAACAAATCCATCCTCATGCTGTCAATGTCTGTGGGAATTTGGTGTATATTAAAATTCTCTTTGGTCTGGCAATTGGTAATGAGTTCCAAATTGTCCCTGTAAATTCTGGGACACCATAAAAATGACTGAGTTCTAGGCCTGCAAGTGGTGATTTCCAAGTGTTCTCTATGCAGTTTCCGCTAGGTATCCTCTTAAACCAAAGCTGGGATGAACAGTCACTTGCCATACACTCATCCGTCAACAACAATGGGAAAATGATTTTTTTGAGTGAAATTGCCACATAACTGGGCTTGGGATATAGCCAACCCTTGGTAAAGTTTTAACAGATGGTGAAACATTCCCAATCCCTCATTCGTTCTTGTTAAATCTGACTAAATTAATTTACTGGCCATCGTGAAATGGATGTGTGACTCAAAACTTGGATGAAGTCAACATTACGACTGATAAGGCTGCTAACTTTATTCTGGAGACTGCATCCACCACTCTGCAGTTTCTGCTGCATGAAGATTGTTTCATAAGGGAATACCATAAGGCAAACTCGAAATCTTTATATTCCTGGAGGCATTCTTGCAAGTTCCTTATCATCCAGTGGAGACTAACGATCTGTGTACCATTTGAATGACCATTTTTATACTAAGCCTGTAAATCTCTCACAAGCCCATATAAATGGGAGAGCTTCCTCTTCTGCAAAGCATCTCATGTTCTAGTTAATATGCTTACTGCATATTGGGTTGGTTTGGGACATCCCACAGACTGTTTCTGGAACAGTACTGTTTGTCTGCCAGTAACTGAAGCATCAGATTTTAAATCATTGCACATAGAATTATGATGCACTAAGACATCTGTAGACAAAACATTTCTTTAATCCTGATAAACGTGTTCAGTTGATGAGGATTTTTGTGTTTTCTTGAGAAGTCAACCATTTTACATGCCCTCACTTTACTGCCAGGTTGTGTACACAGGTTTCTTCAAGCCCTTCGTTCCTATTGTTCCTTCAAACAATCCAAATTTTTTGCATTACTGTAACTATTTACATGAATGCTACTACAGGGACTGTTAGAAGCAGATTAACCACAGTTCTTTCCCCTACTAACTCCAACTTTCTTCCAGTCCAAGTCCTCATCACATTATCACAGGGGAAGAGGGTCAGTTAGCTGTTCTGAGGAACGATCACCAGACCCGGAACGTTAACTCTGCTTTCTCCTCCACAGATGTTGCCAGACCTGCTGAGCTTTTCCAGCAACTTTGTTTTTGGTCAGTTAGCTCAGTTGGCTGGATGCCTGGTTTGCAACAAAGAGTGATACAAACAGCATAGATTCACTTTTCGTACTGGTTGAGGTTATCCTGAAGGTCCCACTTTCACAAGCTCACCCTTCACTTTACTCACGGTGACCCTCAGATTAAACCACCGTTGGTTGTCTCTCTAATGAGAGAGAGGGACTGTGGCAACTTTACTTTTTATCACAACGGGTGGTGCTAACTGTACTTAATCCTAGTATTAGCCCTTTCAGAATCTTTCAGACATGACAGAAATAGATTCTCTTTGTCTACCCAATGAAATCCTTTCATCATTTTAAACCTCAATTAGATCTTCATTCAACCTTCCAATATGTTTCAAGTCACTTGCTGTACTGGTCCTCTTTCTATCAGGAAATAGAGTGAGAAATCTTCACACAGGAAGTTTCCCCTTTCCACTGGATGTTATTTGCCTTAGAACTGGTGGCAAATGTTCTGACCTATGTCCCTACTTTTTGTTAGAAGTGCAGAAGTGATCAGATTCATTGTGTGGTTCTTTTAAAATTTTGTCTGGTCAAAAATGCATGGTAAATTAAAGGAGCTGTTTTGTTCGCATCCTTGTGGTAACATTTTGGTAAATCTCCTCTGCACCCTCTCCAGTGCAATCACATCTTTCCTATAACATGGATTCCAGAACTGCACACAATACTCTAACTGTGGACCAAGCAATGTTTTATACAGTTCCAGCGTACCTGCTTTTAAACTCTATGCCTCAGCTAATAAAGGGACATATCCCATATGCATTCTTAATCACTTTATCCACTTGTCCTGCTCCCTTAAGGGACCGATGTCTATATATACCTTTGATCCCTGGTGTTTCTCTTGGTCCTACCTAGGTTTACCCTGACCAATCAGCTCACATATATCTGGATTGTATTGCATTTGTCACTGACCAGCCCATCTGACTCATCAGTCTATATCCTCCTGTAATCTAAGGCTATCCTTCTCACTATTTCCCACTCAATCAACTTTGTATCATCTGTGAACTTACAGATCAACCCTCCTACATTCAAGTCTAAATCATTTATGTAAACTACAAATACAAAAAACCCCAATACTAACCCATATGGGACTTCCAGACACCCCTCATCAATTACCCTCTGCTTCCTGGCACTCAGCCAAATGTGGATCCAATCTGCCAAATCTTACTGGATCCCAAAGTCTCTTACCTTTTCCATCAGTTTCACAGGCAGGATCATGACATCGTTCCTCCATTGCTCCTCAATTGTTTTTGTTGCTAAACTTTTTCCCGATCCACTCCAGCCAGCTCTCCCCTCATTCCTTTGTTATCACTCTTATTTAAGTTTAATACAGTTGTTTCTGACCCAGGTTTCTCCCTCTTAAACTCAATGTTAAATTCAACCAAGTTATGTTTACCTTTTCCTGGGGGATCTTTTGCCCTGAGATTGTGGTATTACACATTACACATTACCAGATTCAAATCACCTAATCCCTGGTTGGATCCAAAACAATAGTTTCTGTTTTCTAATATTTAATTGGAGGATATTTTTGCTCATTCACTGGTGGATGTTGGTGTATAACATCACAGATAAAACACAGATACAGTGAAGGTGTTGAGAGAGAGAGATGACAGTGAGGTTGAGCTAGATGTCATCCATGAATGATTGCATGTATATGAGTAGAAAACTTGCTGTGCTTATCTGCCCTGCACTACTTATACATCTACGCCCGCCCAAAGTTGACTGTTAACTGCCTTTATGTGGCTGAGCAAACTGCTCAATATTTTCAATCTAAACAGGGATGGACAATATCCTTTTCAACAATCTGCACATGCCAAGAATAAATTTAGAAAAAAACATTTTGGCACAGTTAACACAATTCTTTGAATAGCACCATGGGATCTTTCATAGATAATAGTGTGCAGCTGGAGGAACACAGCAGGCCAGGCAGCATCAGAGGAGTAGGAAAGTTGACTTTTTGGGTTGGGACCCTTCTTCAGACATTGGTTGTGGGGGGAGGGAGCTCAGAAATAAATAGAGAGAGGAGGGGTGGGCCTGGGGAAGGTACTCTTTCTCTATTTATTTCTGAACTCCCTCACCGCCCCACCAATGTCTGAAGAAGGGTCCCAACCCAAAAAGTCAACTTTCCTACTCCTCTGATACTAACTGGCCTGCTGTGTTCCTTCAGCTCCACACTGTGTTATTTCTGACTCCAGCACTGGCAGTTCTTGCTATCTCTGAATGGGATCTTTCATATCCATCTAAGACAGCAGTCTCATTCAATACGACACATAAATGGTGTGCAGACTTTAAGCTTAAGTCATAGAGTGGGACATGACCTCGTAAACCATTAATTCAAAGGTGAGAGTGTTCCTGGCTGAACTAAGGCTGACACAAGCCGAGCTTGCTGGCATTATTCTGTAATTTTCTGACATTTGGCCACAATATTGTTCATTTCTTGCCTCTATCTGTTAAAAAAAACTCTAACAGATTACAGAAAAGTATCTCCTTGTTCATATTTTCAGGTGAGAGTGGCGCTGGCAAGACAGAAGCCAGTAAATATATAATGCAGTATATTGCAGCCATCACCAACCCCAGCCAGAGATTGGAAGTTGAGAGGTAAGGCCGAGCTTTCAAATATTCCATCAAATTTCGTGAATCCCATGACTAGATCACATATAACAGCCTGAAATAATCTTGCGCTTTTAACACAATTTAACACTTCTGAGGAGCTTTAAGGAGCATTATTGAACAAACTTTGACAATAAGCCAAAGAAGGACAACAAGCAAAACCTCTATCAAGGAGGTATATGTTAAAGGATGCCTTAAAGGTGCAGAGGGAGAGAGAGAGAGAGAAAGACTGGGATCAAGTTCCAGAGCTTAGGGTCAAGGCAGATGAAAGCACAAATGAGAGAGTGACGGGAATGGAAATACACTAAAGGCCAGAGCTAAAGGGGCATAGAGTTCTCCAAGAGTTCATGAGCTAAAGGGGGTTACTGAGAAGGGAAGGCCAAGGTCATGGAAGGATTTGAAATGGATGAAAATTTTAAATCTGTGGCAAAGAAATGATGGGTGAATGGATGAGGTGTTTATATAGTATCTGAAAAAGAGGCAGGAATGTGGGGAGATGTAAAATCTCCAATGGAATACCTGGGAAATAATTTTAGTTGAAAGCACAAATCATGCCAATAAGCAATAGAGATATGGTTCTCAACACCTTACTGTCTGTAAGAAATTTGATATCAATGGCTTAAGAACATGGTCTGCTGTCGATTTCTCAGAGAAACTATGGATGCATTATAAAGATGATGTTGTCAACAACATTCATGTCCCTAGGAATCATTTTTAAAAATATTAAACAATTACTGAATCTCTAGAACACTGCTTTGGATTCAAGAACGTTGCTTTTCTCTATCTCTGATATTTCTCGGTACCCCACCTTGCATTCGGTTGTGGACTCTAGAAGTTGCTCTCTATACTTTCCCATCACTTCTTCAACTCTTAAATCCTCCTTAAGTTCTGTCTTGAGCTGTCCGTTGGTTCTGTGTTGATTATTAACTGATTAAATTCTTATAATTGTGGAATGTTTTAGAGTATTAGAAGCACCCAAATAAGTCATTCTTGATGATGATAGCAAAGGTAAAGTTGGTGAGATTAAAATTGTATGGGGGATTAACATAAGATTGAAGCTTGGGCAGTAAGGATGAATATTAATCCCACTTAAAACTGATTATGAAATGAATTGAACCTGTTCTCCCAACTGCAGAGAAAATTCTCTTGCTATGGAATGAAGTTTTTGGAGCTTTACCCTCAGCTGTAGATGTTATTGTTCTCATTCTGAGCATTTACATGATATATGTTCATCCCTTTGCCATTCCCCCTTCCCCAGTGTAAAAAACGTTTTGCTGAAGTCAAACTGTGTCCTGGAAGCTTTCGGGAATGCAAAGACGAATCGGAATGACAATTCTAGCCGATTTGGGAAATACATGGACATCAACTTTGACTTTAAAGGGGATCCCACTGGTGGACACATCAATAACTATTTGCTTGAGAAAGTAAGAAAATGTCTTTTTGTTTGTCCTTCTAGTGCACTAGTTGAAAGTTGCAAGAATATATCTATGCCTGTATCTCTTTTTCTCTGCATTGAAAAAATTCTTTGGGAGGGAAAAGCCGGCAAAAATCCTTGGAAATATTTTGGAAATGGTTGTACTGGACCTCCATTTTAAAGTATACAAGATGAATCAGACTGCTACGTCTCATCATTCACTGGACTCTGGGGTGGTTCCCGCAGATTGGAAACAATGTGATGCCACTGTTTAAAAAAGGAAGTAGACAAAAAGCAGGTAACTATAGGCCAGTTAGCTTAACTTCGGTAGTGGGGAAAATGCTTGAATCTATCATTAAGGAAGAAATAGCAAGACATCTGGATATAAATTATCCCATTGGGAACACCCAGCATGGGTTCATGAAGGGTAGGTCATGTTTAACTAATTTGGTGGAATTCTTTGAGGACATTACTTGCGTGGTGGACAATGGGGAACCTGTGGATGTGGTGTATCTGGATTTCCAGAAGGCATTTGACAAGGTGCCGCACCAAAGGCTGCTACATAAGGTAAAGTTGCATGGTATTACAGGTAATGTATTGGCATGGATAGAGGATTGGTTGACCAGTAGAAAGCAAAGAGTAGGGGTAAATGGGTGTTTTTCTGGTTGGCGGTCAGTGGCTAGTGGTATGCCTCAGGGGTCAGTGTTGGGGCCGCAATTGTTTACAATTTACATAGATGATTTGGAGTTGGGGACTAAGTGTCGTGTGTCAAAATTTGCAGATGATACTAAGGTGAGTGGTAGAGCAAAGTGTGCAGAAGACACTGAAAGTCTGCAGAGGGATATAGATAGTCTAAGTGAGTGGGCAAAGGTCTGGCAGATGGAGTACAATGTTGATAAGTGTGAGGTCATCCATTTTGGTAGGAATAGCAGCAAAATGGACTATGTTTAAGTGGTAAAAAATTGCAGCACGCTGCTGTGCAGAGGGACTTGGGTGTCCTTGCGCATGAATCGCTAAAAGTAGGATTGCAGGTGCAGCAGGTAATTAAAAAGGCAAATGGAATTTTGTCTGCCATTGCTCGAGGGATGGAGTTTAAAAACAGGGAGGCTATGCTGCAGCTGTATAGGGTCCTGGTGAGGCCACACCTGGAGTACTGTGTGCAGTTTTGGTCTCCTTACTTGAGAAGAGATATACTAGCACTGGAGGGGGTGCAGAGGAGATTCACTCGGTTGATTGCAGAGTTGAGGGGGTTGGATTATGAGGAGAGACTGAGTAGGCTGGGATTATACTCATTGGAATTCAGAAGAATGAGGGGAGATCTTATGGAAACATATAAGATTATGAAGGGAATAGATAAGGTGGAGGCAGGGAGGTTGTTTCCGCTCACAGGTGAAACTAGGACTAGAGCGCATCGCCTCAAAATAAAAGGAAGCAGAAGTAGGACTGAGGTCAGGAGGAACTTCTCCACCCAAAGGGTTGTGAATCTGTGGAATTCCCTGACCAGTGAAGCGGTTGAAGCTACCTCGCTGAATGTTTTTAAGGCAAGGCTAGATAAATTTTTGAACAGTAAAGGAATTAAGGGTTATGGTGAGTGGGCGGGTAAGGGAGCTGAGTCTCAAAAAGATCAGCCATGATCTTATTAAATGGAGGGGTAGGCTCGAGGGGCCGGATGGCCTACTCCTGCTCCTAGTTCTTATGTTCTTATCATCTCTGTCCCTATTTCTCATATAATTTATGAATCTACTTTTCACTCACTCTCGACCTTTATCTGTCTATTCCTGTGTCTTCCTCTCGAATTCTGTTTGTCTGTATCTATTTTTCATTCTCTCTTTCCATTTCTGTCTTTTTTAGAAGCTCTGTTTGTTTCAACCTCTTCCACTTTTTATCAACTGGATGTAAATCTGTGCTTCTTCTGGGATGTTCTCACTTGTATACCACTGACACCCAGCTTCTATTAAAACAATTCACAAGTCACATATTCATTATCAAGAAAAGCATTTATTGCTCTCCCCTTAAAGGAATGCTGGTGATGATCTGCCATTGTAATGACTCACTATTTCCTAGGCCATTACAGGGGGCAGTTAAGAGTCAACTCCATGACTAAGGGTTTAAAGTCATTTATAAACCAGGCTCAGTGAGGAAGGCAGATGTTCTTTTCTAAGGTTTTAATAAACCAGGCGAACATTTATAATAAGTGCTTAGTTATATGCACTGGACTTTATGGCCCATACACTTATGGGGACACACAGATGGATCTGAGCTTGCCTGTCCACCCACCTCCTTCCCCCAAGATATTGTGGGGAGATGTCAGATAGGCTGTCCACTTTTGAGTCTCATCCTCAGATTTTTCAGGAATAGGAGAGAACTGTGCCCAACGTATAGCTGTGACCCTTTGTTTACTGACCCTGACCAGTGATAGCAGGAGGTTTGGCAACTTTTTGGGTCCCTGGTGCCAACCATAGCTCCATCTCCAGCAATAATTTTTAGCCCCCACATCCTCTTGTCTTGTCCAATGTTCTTTGCCTGCCAAACCCTCTTGCTGTGAACTGCCCACTCACCATAACCCTTAATTCCCTTACTGTTCAAAAATTTATCTAGCCTTGCCTTAAAAACATTCAGCGAGGTAGCTTCAACCGCTTCACTGGTCAGGGAATTCCACAGATTCACAATCCTTTGGGTGAAGAAGTTCGTCCTGACCTCAGTCCTACATCTGCTTCCTTTTATTTTGAGGCGATGCGCTCTAGTCCTAGTTTCACCTGTGAGATCCCAGACTTAGCTGGAGGTCATACCTATCACTGATTGCATCCAGCTTGGTCTAGCCATAGTGCTAGCAGTCACCATTGCTCCTGGTGGAGCTGAGAATAATGTAGACTTCCACAAGGCTGGAATTCCATCTGGGAGGGGCTGAGGTCTTATAAAAGAACATAAAAACATAAGAACTAGGAGCAGGGGTCGGCAATTCAGACACTCAACCCTGCTCCGTCATTTAGTATGATCATCTTGACCTCAACTCCACTTTCCTGTCTGCTCTCCATAACCTTTCAAGTCATTATAAATTAAAAACTGTCTATCTCCTCCTTAAATTTATTGCCTTGTAATATTGACCAACATTTGTGCTGACGAATGGGGAGCCCATTGCATGGCGAGATGATGCTGTACTGGACTCATAATCCGGAATCCCAGGCTATTGTTGCAGGGAAAAGTGGAATTTGACTTCAAATAATAAGCCTGGAATTATTAAGCTAGTCTTAATTGTTGCCAATCATCTGAAGTCTAGAAGATCTAGGCCATTAAGTTGAATTTAAATTTTCAGGTGGTAGCAGTTGAATTTATGGCTATAAATCAGTATATTCAAAAAAGAATAAATCAGTGGAGGGAGCTGGGCACCACAGCCCATATGACCCTTTCCAAAACCATTTTGATTTAGCTTCCTCCTCCTCTACCTACCTCTTCCTCACCTTTGATGGTTTGCATTACCCTTAATGGGCTCTGCGCATAAATTATTCAGTTGGAAACACGGGTGATTTATTGGCCTTGGTTAATAGATGAACAAAAAAAAATTGGTCATTTACTGAGGGGGAAGAAAAGAATGCCGAATTGTGTGTAAGAGCACTTCTGAAGGTTATTTCTGTATATTATAAAAGTAAATCAGTAGGATGAAGAAAGATAATGAATCAGTAGGATGCCTGCCCCTTCCTCTCTCCCTCCCTTTTCCCTCACCTTTGATGCTCTGCATTGCCCCTAATGGGCTTTGCATGTAAATTAAACAATTGGAAAACACGGGTGATTTACTGTTGGAAGTTAATAAATGAAAAAATACCACGGATGATTTGGTGATGGGAAAAATGTTCAGTTGTGAGTATGAACACTTCTGGAAATAAGAGCTAAAAGACTGATGAAGAAGGAAGTATGAGTAGGTCAGGTGTCTTTTGGTGCAGTGGTAGGATAAATATCCCTGGGCCAGAAAGCTTGGGTCCAAGTCCCACCTGCTCCAGAGGTATATAACAACATGGCCAAATGTGTTGATTTAAGAAAACATCTAAATCAGCAGGACATGTCTATGAATGGTTAGCTTGGTGCCATTATGAAGCTGTTACTCCCTCTGAGCTGTACCTGACTATCAGCTCTCTCAATTCCTAAGCATAACTTCTCAGCCTACTTGCCTGATATCTGGTACTGGATGAGCAGAAATTTCCTCCATCAAACAGTGGGAAGACCAAAACTTGATTCCCAAAGGTCAGTCCCCACCACAAACGCTGAGCCATCGACTCCATCCCTTTCTCTGATAATCATTTGAGACTGAGCCAGGCTGTTCACAAATCTCAGCTTTCAACTGTCATAATCGACCCTAAGTCTTTTCTGGCTTTATTACCTTTGCCTTTGTTAGCCCTAAATTTGACTGTTTCAGTAACCCCTCTTAGTTTCTGCTCCATGTAAACTTGAAGTCATCTATTGCTCTCTTGCCCCTGACTTAACTTGTACTGACTCTCATTCACACATTGCTTCTATGATTACCCAAGTACATTGACTCCCAATTAAGCAAGGAATTGATTTTAAAATGTCATCCTTGCCTTAAAATATTTCTATAGTTTTCTTTCCTTGACTTTGAATTCTCCTCCTTCCCTTCAGTCCTCCAAGACATCTGTGATGCTCTGGTCATGAACATTCCCAATGTTAATTACTCCATCTTTGGTGGCCTTGTTTTCTGCTATCTCAGCCTTAACTTCTGGAATTCCCTTCCTACACTTCTCTACCTCTCTTCTATTTTTGACTGGCTATACTACTGTGAAGTTCCTTGGAACATTATACCATGCTAAAGGCATTATGTAAATATAAATTGTTATTCTGATGAATCATTATCTTTTGTTGTTGTTTGGAGTTCAGGATCAGAAAATCTTTTGGTGGTTAGAATCAAAGAAAATACTATTTTAACAAGAGGCCCGATGAGAGTTGACTTGTATACTATCAGCATTTCTGGGAAATGTTTCAACACTAGTGTTTATTGTCCCTGTTCTTGAATTGTGATTTTTATTGCTGTCCCCACAGTCACGAGTGATTGTTCAACAAAGAGGAGAAAGGAATTTCCATTCCTTTTATCAGGTAACCATTATTTTATTTTATTTTATTTCTTTCTGTTTCTTTATTATCTGTCTCAATTATTATTTTTCAGTCACAAATCAAGGTCAACCGAATACAACCCCGGAAAGCAAACTCCATTTCAGAGCCCAGCCATTTACATAGGATCTTACACATCTATGAAGTCCCACAGCTCATGAGTATGTTTCAAGTAACATAGGCAAATGTAGCATACAATGTATTCAAAAACAATCGATAACCTTATGACCTGGCATAGCCACACTCTATCATTACCATCAAGTCAGGAGGTCAACCCTAGCTGAATGAAAAATGCAGGCAAGCAGGCCAGGAGCAGCACCTAAAGATGAGGTATCAATCTGGTAAAGCTAAAAATTGAATTGGGGAAAGCAATGGCCTACTGGTATTACCACTGGACTGTTAATCCAGAGACCCAAGTAATTATCTGGTGACAGATGATGGAATTTGAATTCAACAAAAAAGCCTGGAACTAAGAGTCTAATGATCATTGTGAATCCATTGTCAATTGTCAGAGAAACCCATCTGATTCACTAATGTCCTTTAGGGAGGAAATCTGATCTGGCCTACATGTGATTCTGGATGCACACAGCAATGTGGTTGACTCTTAGTCAAAAGAATGTGGAGCTGGAAAAGCACAGCAGGTCAGACAGCATCTGAAGAGCAGGCAAGTCAATGTTTCAGGCTCTTCAGGACTCTTTACTGCCTTCTGGGATGTGTAATGAATGCTGGCCCAGTCAGCAAAGCCCATATCCCATGAATGAATTAAAATTTTTTTTAAAAAATACACTAAATTAACAGCAGAAACAGCATGTTATAGACAGAGCTAAGTGATACCACAAACAACGGATCAGATCTAAGCTCGGTAGTCCTGCCACATCCAGTCATAAATTGTGGTGGCCAATTAAACAACTAACAGGAGGATGAGGATCCACAAATATCCCCATCTTCAATGATGAGGCAGCCCAGGACTTCAGTGCAAAGTATGAGGCTGAAGCATTTGCAACAGCCTTCTGCCAGAAATGCTGAAGGGATTATTCATTTCAACCTTTTCCTTCAGCAATCCCCAGCATCACAGATGCCAGTTTTCAGCCAAGTCAAGTCACTCCATGTGATGTCAAGAAATGGTTGGAGACACTGGACACTGCCCTTACAACATTCCAGTAATAGGACTGAAGACTCCAGAACCAGTCAGACCCCTAACCAAGCTGTCCCAGAACAGCTATATCACTGGCATCTACCCAACAATGTGAAAAAATTCCAAACCATGTCATGTACACAAAAAGAAGGGCAAATCCATTGTAGCCAATTACCACCCTATCAGTCTACTCTCAATCATTAACAAAGTGATAGAAGCTGTCATTGACAGTACTATCAAGTAGCACTCACTCAGCAATAACCTGCTCACTGATGTTCTGGTTGGATTCCACCAGGGCCACTGAGATCCTGACTTCATTACAGCCTTTGAATTCTAGACGTGAGGTGAGATAATAGTGACTATGCTTGATATCAATTCAGCAACTGTCAAAAGCCGTCATCGAAGAGCCCTTGCAAAACTGGAGTCAATGGGAATCTTGCAAAAAGTGCCAATGTTTGGAGTACTATCTGCCATATATGAAGAAGGTCACCTTTGTTGGAGGCCAGCCATCTCTTGAGCCCTCTAGATGTTGGACAGACTTTAGGAAGGCTGGAGGTGAATTACACATTGTTTATTCCCACCTCTGATCTGCTGTTGTAGTCTTTATATTGGCTAGTTAAGGTTCCAGTCAATAGTAATCCCCAGGATGTTGATAGTGGGAGATTTGGTGATGACAATTCTATTGAATATCAAGGAAAGTGATTAGATTCTCTCTTGTTGAAGATGGTAATTGCCTGGTACTGAGGAAGTATGAATGTCACTTATTAGCCCAAATTCCCAAGTGAGCTCTCATTCCAATGTGCACTTATTCCTCATCTCACTCTCTCACAAGTTGGATCAGTTCAACCTTTTCTAATAATATTGACTGAGGGATTTGTGTTGATCAGGAACTGAGAAGAGATCACAACTGTTCTTTGAACAGTGATGTAAGATCATTTACATCCAGAGAAACATATACAAAGTGTTCCACCAATCATGTCAATCAGATATGTGTTTGTAAATGTGTCTGCAAGTGGTTATATTAGCTTGAACTTATGAGTGTATGTTGATGAATGTTGGTGCATGGGTATAGGCAGAGGTGTGTAGATGTATGTATCGACCTGTTCATACATTATTCTTGTGTGCTTCTTGTGTCGGTAGGTGTGCATGTGTGTGATGGTGTTTACGTTTCGGGTTGAGGCTCTATCTGGGTGGTTGTAGGTGTAGTTGCATGAATATTTTTCAATGCGTGTTGCTGTGTTTGTATTTTTGTCTAAAATTGTGTCTGCAAATGTGTCTGTGAATCCTTCTGTTTGAGAGTTTGTGTATTTATGGTTGTCAAGATATGGTGTATTTGAGTGGATCTAGATGTGGATATGTCTGCACGCAAATGCACACAAGTGTACATCATGGATGCACATTTGTTAGGTGTTTATCAGAGCCTATTTTGTATTTTTGTGCATGTGTATGTGTTCTTCTGGTTGTCTAGCTGGATGAGTATGAAAGTGTATGCAAATGTTTGAATATTTGTGCACATACCTGCACATGCTTGTGTGCTTGATGAGTTGTGGAATTGTTCTGAATGAGAATCAAATCCCTTCTCCAGGCAGGCCCAATGTGATAGTGAGACTCACAAAGAAGAAAGCCAACTGCTTAATCTCTGGTCTGTACTAATCTAGCTGACTGTGGTTGACAGAGGCAGTAGAGAGGTGGCAATAACAATTAGCATCAGGCTCCTTGAATTTAAAAGGGAAGGCAATTAAATCCTGCTGAATTGGAGGAGGTCAGAAGGAGTGGGACGGTTCAAGATGTTGAATAAAGATACTAACGGTACTGGGACTAGTAAATGAAAGGGAGAGAGAAAGAGAAATATTTTGAGAGAGTAGTTGCATGTTATAGCTGAAGGTGGAAAAGTCCATCAGAAAGTAAACATCTCCCCTGTTTCTCTTCAAGATTGTGAGAGAAGTGCTAACTTAGTTACAAATGAGGGGTGGTTTCACACTCCTGTATTCTAGAAAGTCATTAAACTGATAGAACAGATTCCAAACAGGATTTCATTGACAATCACTGCAGGTTTAGAGTTAACTGCTTCAATTTACAGTAGAACACTTTGACAATGAAGGTTAAGTTCTTCTGTTTCTATTCACTTTGGACTTGTGAAGAGCCATACATCTTGGAATTCTATGGAAGCTGTATGTAGAATTCATAAAAATGTTCAAGATATTTCTGCACAAGGAGGTTGATTTAAGTGTAGGAGTAATTTGCGTTACTGTATGTAATTAAGCCTTGGTTCAGTGGTTACAGTCTCACCTCTGAGTCAAATTGTTATTGATTCATAATCCATTTATTCCCCTTCCAAAAACAAAAATTGTAATTGGATGTAGTTAGAAATGGGGGAGGTTAAATGAGCAAAGGGGCTACTCCACTTAGGCACATACATCACAGAATTAAAATATGGTTTCCCATGATGTGCTTACAGCTAAAAGAATAAACCATTGATTCAAAGCATTGTGGTTTCAGTTAACATGTCAGACACACTTGACTTATTATACCTTTTAATCACTTGGAAACCTCATTAGGCTAATAATAGATATGACACTAGGTATGCATCTTTAAAATTGGACAAACGTTTGAATACCATGCCTGTGAGACACAACTGCTTCTTATCTTCTGAGCCAGAAAGTCCTGGGATTTGGCAGACGCTGGAGATTCACTGCAAATTGAACACAGACTTGAGATTGAATGTGGAATTGAGCTGAGGCTCAAGAGTCACTCTGAATAACAGAGCATGTCAAAGCTATTGAATCACTTTGTCAGTGATGGTTCAGTTCAAAAAAGTCTGATTAGTTTTGGACTTGTATGAGAAATATTGATCACAAGAACTGGGTTGCCACAAAACTGCAATTAATGGACAAATATGCCTGAAGAAGAGACTTTTCCACCATTCATTTATCTAAATGTGCCACTAATGTGATTGATCATGAGACCATAAAATGCAGGAGTAGAATTGGGCCATTTAGCTCATTGAGTCTGTTCTCCCATTCAGTCATGGCTGATGTATTTTTCAACCACATTCTCCTGACTTCTCCTCGTAAGTCATGATCCCCTTACTCACCAAGAATCTATCTATCTCTGTTTTAAATGCATTCAATGATTTGGCCTCCATATCCCTCTACTGCAATGAATTCCACAGGCTCACCACCATCTGGTTGAAGAAATTCCTCCTTATATTGGTTTTAAAGGGTCATCCCTTCATTCTGAGGCTGTGCCCCCAGGTCCTAATCTCACCTACTAGTGAAAACATCTTTTACATGTCCACTCTATCCAGGCCTCTCAGTATCCTGTAGTTTCAATTAGATTGACCCTCATCCTTCTAAACTCTACTGAGTACAGATCCAGAGACCTTAACCACTCCTTATATGACAAGCCTTTCATCCCCAGGATCGTTCTTGGAAAGCTCCTTTGGACCCCCCGACTCCAGCACATCTTTCCTTAGATACAGGGACCAAAATCACTCACAATATTCCATATGTGATCTGATCAGAGCCTTATACAGCCTCAGAAAGACATCTCTTCTCTTGTATTCTAGCCTTCCTAACAGCCTGCTGAACCTACATGTTAACCTTAAGAGAACCCTGAACTAGGAATCCCAAGTCCCTTTGTACTTCAGATTTCCAAAGCCTTCCTCGTTTAGAAAGTAACATACGCCTCTATTCTTTTTATCAAAGTGAATGATTTCACATTTTCCCACATTGTATTCCTTCTACCACTTCTTTTCCCACTGTCCTAGCCTGTCCAAGTCCTTCTACAGCCTCTTTGCTTCCTCAACACTACCTGTGCCTCCACCCATCTTTCTGTCATTTGCAAACTTAGCAACGACGCCCGCAGTTCCTTCGTCCAGATTGTTAATTTAAAACTCAAATAGTTGTAGTCCCAATGCTAATCCCTGTGGAACTCCACTAGTCACCGGTTGCCATTGTAACAAAAGCCCATTTACCCCCACTCTCTGCCTTCTGCCAGTCAGCCAATCTTCTGTCCATTGCCAATACCTTATCCCTAACACTATGGGCTCTTACCTTATTTAGCAGCCTCCTGTGCAACACTTTGATTCTTAACAATCTCTAAAATAGTCTAACAAGCCAACCTTGTTGGGGGAACTAAGGATGGCCAATAATTATTACCAACTGGCCACATTTCAAGAGTGAAATGTTTAAAAAACACTGGACTGTTTCATATAGTGTTAAGTTACTGAATTTTCTTAAAAGTATGAAGGGGATTGGAGAATGATTTGTGTGAAATTATGTTTGAGAAATGCCAATGCATTCCTGTTTTAAGAGTTTCAAATATCGATGAAACAAAATACACCCTGGAAAAAAAAACTAATCATGCGTACTCATTAGTCCAGAATACTGGATCAGAAAAAATAAGTAAATCCTCTGTCATTCTGTACATTTTCAGCTGATCCTGGGTGGCTCTGATGATCTGTTGAAGTCCTTGTACTTGCAGAGAGATGCGGAAGAATATGCATTTATTCGAGATGGAGCTACTGTCAATGTAAGTATTCATGGGGTGAAGTTTTTTGGACGGAAATCAATTTTTCTGACAAATACATGACACTACCAAATATGGATCTATTGCCATGTTACAGCTGACAAATAGACAAACATTTGACTATAAAATTATTAGGTTGGTTATCATAAGCCAGTTGACCCTGGTCAACAAACAGTGAAGAAGTTTCCCAGGACGTTGTTTCGCAGGAGCAACTGCAGAAGCTGAAAATGAGAAACAAAAAGAAAAAAATAATGGTAATATTCAGCAGGTCTGGCAACAGAATGTTGGCTCTGTTTTTCTCTCCCCAGATGCTTGGACCAGCTGAGTATTTCCAGTATTTTCTGTCATTATGTTACTGTTTACTCAGCTTCCATTATTGATAGAACCTGGGGGAGTTGACATATCCTGGAGAACCACCTTGCTCTGGATAGGCCTTTATGTAACTAGCATTTTTTTGACATGGACAACACATTGCCTGAGAGAAAGAGTGCATACCTCACATGCTTGTGAAAACGTCACTGTGGCAAGAAAGTGTGAATTAGGAGAAAGTGAATGCGTCACTATATCCAAACAGGGAATGTGATATCTCGAAGAGAATATGCGCATGTGTCACTATGGGAAGGGAATGCTAATAAGCTCTGGTTTAAATGCTTTTAACTTAGGTGGTGGGTTTTCAATTGTGTTGAAAAACCATATGATCATAAAGAATAAGACTTAAGTCACAGTCAAGATGGAGGTGAATGTGGTGGCATAGTGGGAATGCCATTGGTAGTCAACAGCTAATGCTCCGGCAACATGGGTTTGATTCACAACCTGCCAGGTGGTGAAATTTAATTCAATAAAATCTGGAATTAAAACACCAGTCCAACCCAACTGTGTAATCATTGTTGATTGTTGTAAAATCCCATCTGGCTCATTAATGTCACTTAGGGAAGTTAATCTGCCATCCTTCGTCAGTCAGGCCTTCGTGTGGATCAGACCCACAGAAATGCAGTTGATTCTGAAATGGCCTGGAGACCCAATTAGGGATAGATGACAAATGATGGTCTTGGCCAGTGATTCACACATCGCCTGTAAGAATAAGAAAAAAGTCAGGGAAAATGTCGCGCCCTGTAAACATTTTGTAAGTTTCAGTGAGATCACCTCTCATCCTTCAAAACTCTGGAGAATGCGGTCCTATTTTTTTCTATCTCTCCTCATAGGAGAATTCCACCATCCCAGGAATCTGGCTGATGGACAACCTCCCAGCCCAACATAGTGCTCAACTCCCCGATATTTCAAATTGTATCCACGACTTCCTTAGATACTTTCATGTAGTTGTACATGAAAGTTGTAGAGACTTAGCCTCAACACTGTTTGGAGTAGACAATTCCAGAAATTCACTACTCTCTGGCTGAAGAAATTCTTCACATCTCAGTTTGCATTCCCTACATTATGCATTCCACCCCAATGGAATGAAGGCAGCAAGTCCCACCAAAAACAATGGTCCTCCGAGGAATGTGAAAGATCTCCTATCTCCTGTCCTTTTAACAAAGTTTCTATGGCAATCAGGTATTCAACCGAAAATGGACCATTAAAGGCTAATTGCTTGCACAATAGAAATGGTTTAAGATAATGTTCTCGATGAGAACTAATAAATGAGCTAATCAAGTTACAATTGCAATATGTAATCATACTTGCGTTAGGGGCAGGTGGAAACAGCAGTGACATAACAAGCCATACCTTTGTGTATTTTAAGTATATGCTTTCTCTGTAGAATTGGACAAACAATGGATAAGCTAAGCTTTGTTCCCTGCCTACTATTGTTGACACTTTCGGTTGTCTATATCTTTAAATTAGAAGCATTCAGACCGTCAAATTTAGCCTGAAGCTAGTTGAGTCACCAAACTGCAAATTATAAGCTCTTTGGGTTTCATAGATACTAATGACAAGTATGGCCAACCTATCCTTCCTCACGTTATAATGCATATTTGAGTTTTTTCTTTAAAAAAAAATCATTTAGTCATGGCACGTGAGCATTGCGAATTGCGGGCGGGTGAGGGGGTGGGAGCGGAATAGTTCCTGATAGCCTTTAACTTTAAACGTTCAACACAATCCATTGCCACATAGCCTGATGCTAACTCTTGTCAATTTCTTTTCTTCACATGCATTTCAACAATTTTCAGTCTGTGGTCAATGACAAGGAGAATTTTAAGGCTGTAATGAAAGCAATGGAAATCATCGGGTTCAGTGACAAAGAAATTGACACCATCTACAAAATCCTGGCCACCATCTTGCATTTGGTAATGATAAACTTTGATCAATAACTGTTTCAATTAGAACACCTGAATGGGAATAAACTATCCCCCCTTGAACTTTTTCTGCCATTCAATTAAATTATAGATGTAGTACATTAATTTTATTTCCAGTCTCTGTTCCATTTTTAATAATTTTTCAATTAATCTGGTATTCATATTTATTAAGCAAGGCTCAGAATTAATGCATTTATTAATAGGTTTTTAAAATGATGAAAATACTTAACAACTCCAGTACCATTACTTCTCAAAATTATTTTGATCTTCAGCTCTGAAAGCTCTAGCTCATTCAGCATCCATAGCCTTTTGGATGGCTAGGTTCCAGATTTTCATTACCCTTTGTGTGAAAAGTCTTCCTGATTTCACTCTGAATTGTCTTTTAAGATTGTGCTGGCTTATTTTGTTTCTCACCAAAACTCTACAATTCCCCTATGAAATGTTTCCATCACTTTAAAGATCTATTTATTTTGAACCTTGCCATATAAATACATTTTAAAGATGAATAATAACATCATTAAAAATAAAGTATTTGAACGGATTTCTGGGTATGATCTCTCAGTCACCTGCCTTCCTTGGGGCAAATGGGATCCTGGTGGTTTTCTGTCAAGATACAGCAAAAATGTGTGAAAAATGAACAATATGGGCAACCCTACAGCAGACCAATTCCAGCATGCCCACTTTTGGTGTCACTGGTGACAAGCCTGAGGTCAGATGGGCAAACAACTTGCTGTCAAGAGGTGCAAAGGTACTTCAACCCAGTTCACCAAGTATCCCCTGTGATGGGACTACTCCTTCTGATTGTCTGATCCCACATCTACCCCATGTTCAATTAGCCTAATCAGTTTGGCAATCTGGCTAGCTGTCAAGTGGGAGATCAGTTTAAAATATTTAAAAGGGGTATTTTGGAATTTAGTGGGAGCCCTACTTCCTGCTTTTCTGAACAAAAGTCTTCACACCACTGGACTAGCCATATAACTATTATGGTGACAAGATCAGACCAGAGGCTGAGAATCCTGCAGCAGGTAACTCACCCGCCCACCCATCTGCAAGGCACAAGTCAGGGGTGTGATGGAATACTCAAAGAGTTTGGTTCATCCAGGACATTACAGTGTACTTTACTGGCACATCATTCACCACCTTAATCAATCTCTCCATCACCAATGCACTGTGTCAGCAATGTGTACCATTTACAAGTTGCACTGCAGCAATTCGCCAAGTCTCATTAGACAGCACCTTCCAAACCTGGAACCTCTATGACCCATAAGGACAAGGACAGAGAATGCAAGGGAACACTACCACCTGCAAATTTCCCTCCCAGCCACAGACTGTGTTGTCTTGGAACAATATTGAAATTTCAGCACTGTTGTTGGGTCAAAAACCTAAAACACTGCTCTGAGCATTCCAAAAGACATACCTCCACCACCAGGACAAAAGCAGTTCGTGAAATTGATTCACTATCCCCTTGCTCAAGAGCAATTAGGGATGAGCAATAAATACTTATCTAGCCAGCAACACCCACATCCCATCAAGAAATTAATGGAAAAAAACAGTTTAGTGTTACTATTGGTTTCCAATGATCTGTTTTAGCAGTGCTGTGTACTTTATTTGGATAGCCTACTGATACACATGGATGAAGACATAAAAGTCAATATAGATTAGAAAGACAAATTATGTTCCATTAAATTGAGTTATTCAATAAATAATGGAGAGGGTTATTACAATGAGTGTTGTGTATATGGAATTCCAAAAGCGTTTGTATAAAAACCACACATTTCACTTGTTAGTAAAACTGATGCCCATTGGATTAAAGGGCAGTGATTGCATAGAGACAATCTTAGCTAAGAGGTGGAGAATAGAGAGTAGTGCTAAATTGTTGTTTTTCAAACTGGAAGGAAGTATGTGTGTCCCAGTGTATTGATGTTGGGATCACAGTTTATTTTGATATAAATTGATGACCTAGATTTGAGAGTGCAGAAGCACAATTTCAAAGTTTACTGATGAAATAGAAACTGGAAATTAACAGTGAAGTTAGTGGCAGACACCAGGACGACGCTCACATATATACAGGGTGGTGAAATGGCCAGATGACATTTAGCACACAAAAACAGGAGTTGCTGAAAAAGCACAGCAGGTCTGGCAGCATCTGTGAAGATAATATTAGAGTTAAGGTTTCCGGTCCGGCGACCCTTCCTCAGAACTTTAGCACATTTGAAATTTAGCACATTTGTTTTCGTAAATAGAATGAAGAGAAGCAATTAAACTCAATGGTACAATTTTCGAGAGGGTTCCTGAGACAAGAGAGACACTGGGGTGTTATATTTACAAATCTTTGAAGGTGACAGGATGACTTGAGGAGGCTTTTTAAAGGTAAAACATAGAACATAGAACATTACAGTGCAGTACAGGCCCTTCGGCCCTCGATGTTGCGCCGACCTGTGAAACTAATCTGAAGCCCATCTAACCTAAACTATTCCATTATCATCCATATGTTTATCCAATGACCATTTAAATGCCCTTAAAGTTGGCGAGTCTACTACTTTTGCAGGCAGGGCATTCCACGCCCTTACTACTCTCTGAGTAAAGAACCTACCTCTGACATCTGTCCTATATCTATCACCCCTCAATTTAAAGCTATGTCCCCTCGTGCTAGCCATCACCATCCGAGGAAAAAGGCTCCCACTGTCCACCCTATCTAATCCTCTGATCATCTTGTAGGTCTCTATTAAGTCACCTCCTAACCTTCTTCTCTCTAACGAAAACAGCCTCAAGTCCCTCAGCCTTTCCTCATAAGACCTTCCCTCCATACCAGGCAACATCCTGGTAAATCTCCTCTGCATCCTTTCCAATGCTTCCACATCCTTCCTATAATGCGGTGACCAGAACTGTACGCAATACTCCAAGTGCGGCCGCACCAGAGTTTTGTACAGCTGCAACATGACCTCATGGCTCCGAAACTCAATCCCTCTACCAATAAAACCTAACATACCGTACGTCTTCTTAACAACGCTATCAACCTGGGTGGCAACTTTCAGTGATCTATGCACATGGACACCGAGATCTGTCTGCTCATCCACACTACCAAGAATCTTACCATTAGCCCAGTACACTGTATTCCTGTTACCCCTTCCAAAGTGAATCACCTCACACTTTTCTGCATTAAACTCCATTTGCCACCTCTCAGCCCATCTCTGCAGCTTATCTATGTCCCTCTGTAACCTGCAACATCCTTCCGCACTATCCACAACTCCACCGACTTTGGTGTCATCTGCAAATTTACTAACCCATCCTTCTACGCCCTCAGTTTTGACATAGTTAATAGAGGAGTAAAGCACAATAGCAAGGGGATAATGCTAAATCATCATAAACTGCTGGTTAGACCCCAGGGACTATTGCATCTAGATCAGGCAGAAAGGATGTCAAGGTTTTAGAGAATGCAGAAAGAAACTTGTTACAGTTATACAAGCAGTGAAAGATTTCAGTTTTATTACAAAATTGGAAAAACTGTAGTTGTTCTTCCTTAAGTAGAGAAGGTGAGGAAGAAATTTGATATTGACATTCAAGATGTTGAAGGTTTTTGTTGGAATGAATAAGTAGAATCCATTTGCAGTAGCAAGGCAGAGATTGAAAGTAATTCACAAAGAAAGACAGGCAGCCTGGGCAAAATGAATTTGACACAATGACTTTTCATCAGCTATAGTGCACTGCCTGAGAGTTGGTGAGAACAGATTCAGTAATAATCTCCAAAGCAAAATTGCATAAATACTTAGAAGTAGAAAAACTTGTAGGGCAATGGGAAAGTAATCAGAGTGATGCAACTAATTACCTCATTCTTGTAAAGAGCTGCCACAGGAAAGATGGGCTGAATGGCAGTAGTTTTCCATGATTGGACAAAATCCTACGTGTATCAACCTTATTTATAGTTGTAGGCTTGATACTTAGAGTCATAGAGATATACAGAATGGAAACAGACCCTATGGTCCAACTCGTCCAAGCCAATCAGATATCCTAAATTAATCTAGTCCCACTTGCCAGCATTTGTCCCATATCCCTCTAAACCCTTCCCAATCATATACCCATTCAGATACCTTTTATAAGTTGTAATTGTACCAGCCTCCACCTCTTCCTCTGGCAGTTCATTCCATACACGCATCATCCTCTGCGTTAAAAGTTTGCCCCTCAGGTCCATTTTAAATCCTTTCCATCTCATCTTAAACCTATGCTCTCTATTTTTGAACTTCCCTACCCTGGGAAAAGACCTTGATTATTCACCCTATACATGTCCCTGATGATTTTACAAATCTCTATAAGGTCACCCCTCAGCCTCCGACGTTCCAGGGAATATAGTCTTAGCCTGTTAAGCATCTCGTGATAGCTCAAACCCTTCAAACTTGGCAACATCGCTGCAAATATTTTCTGAAACCTTGCATAACTTTCTAAAATTTAGGACAATGGCAGTACATTAGTGATATTGCTGGACTAGTAAACATGACGTTTGGAATTATAATTTAGAGAACATAAAACAAAAACATGATTGTTTGAGGATTTGAAATAATCTATGAACAGGTCTGCAAATAAAAAGCTGGTATCAGTAAAAATGAACCTGAAGTTTTTAGATTGTTAATGTGTATCCACTCATTATGTTACAAATTACACGTCAATTCAATGATGTTTTATGGCATAAACAACCAAATCTGTAATTTTTTGACGTGCATGCATTACTCATCAGCATGGCTTGCATATTTCAAAGTTCCTCAGTGTATGTTTAAGTAAAAATGGCATGCCGTTTGGCTCCTTGCTACCTACCTGTGGGGGTTTGAGTAACACATTCCATTATTCCCTGGTGTAATTATGCTATTTATGGATATGACTAGTGATTCTTCGATGTATATTCACTGTTCATATCTATAATAAGCCATGATTTCTTTGTACATTGCTGAAGATCACATACATGCAATAATTCCCATGCTTACATTGTCTGTACCCAAAGCCCATGTGTAAGATGGGTATATCTCATTTTTGTCTCTGTGTATGCATATTGTCAATCAACAAAGAGAATATATCTTGTCATTACCCAGGGTGTCCCCATTGACTTTGTTGATTCTGCTTGTGCTTTCTTTCACAGGGAAACCTAATGTTTACCACAGAGAGTGATGCTGCCTCCATCAGCAATAATGATGTAGTGTCACAGATTGCAGATATCACTATGACAGAGCCAGACACTGTCAGGAAGACTCTTCTTCATCGCACTGTGGCTACGGGAGGAGGTGAAGTGATTGAAAAAGGTCACACAGTGCAGGAAGCTGCATATGGTAGAGATGCTTTTGCCAAGGTAAAGAAATGCTGGTGAGATTAGGATTTCTTTCACTTGAATGTTATTGGAGCTCTTACTCTTGCAACATAACTGAGCCTCATCCATGGCTCAATGTTAGCACTCTCATCTCTGGTGGTTTCAAGTCTTTCTGTGAGATGTTAAACTGAAACCTCTTTTATTTCTTTATGGATATGGCTATTGATGAGATTTACGCTGGACCATGAGGCTTTGGTGGAATACAACTCTGCAGCTGCTGATGGCTCACAGTGCCTCTTAGATGCCCAAATTTGAGCTTTATGACCCATTCCGAATCTATCCTGTTTAGTATGGTTTTGGCGCCACACTACACAATGGAGGGTAAACATCAACATAAAGACAAGGCTCTCCAGTGGATGTAAAGATTGCAAGGATCTATTTCTGACAAAAGCAGCAGAGTTCTTTCCAGTCTCCTGTGCAATATTTAACCCCAATCACACTTCTAAAATGGATTACCTTTAACTGGTACAACAAGGTGCAGGGATGGATGAACACAGCAGGCCAAGCAGCATCATAGGAGCAGAAAGGCTGACGTTTTGGGCCTAGAGCCTTCATCAGAAATGGGGAAGGGGAAGGGGGTTCTGAAATAAATAGGGAGAGAGTGGGAGGCGGATAGAAGATGGATAGAGGAGAGGATAGGTGGAGAGGAAACAAACAGGTCGAAGAAGCGGGGATGGAGCCAGTAAAGGTGAGTGTAGGTGGGGAGTTAGGGAGGGGATAGGTCAGTCCAGGGAGGACGGACAGGTCAAGAGGGCAGGATGAGGTTAGTAGGTAGGAGATGGGAGTGCGGCTTGAGGTGGGAGGAGGCGATAGGTGGGAGGAAGAACAGGTTAGGGAGACGGGGACGAGCTGGACTGGTTTTGGGATGCGGTAGGGGGAGGGGAGAT